ATATATATATGTATATGTATATATATATATATATATATATATATATATATATATATATATATATATATATATATATATATATATATATATATATATATATATGTATATGTGTGTGTACCTGCGTGCGTGCGTGGTGTGTGTGTGTATGTGTGTGTGTGTGTGTGTTTGTGTGTATGTATGTGTATGTGTGTGTGGTGTGTGTTGTGTGTATGTATGTGTGTGTGTGTGTGTGTGTGTGTGTGTGTGTGACCGTATCCCTGCCTCTATATCCAGTTCTGCTCATTTCTGCAACCATGTCCACACATACCTCACTGAATATCTGTCATCAACATCGTTATATCAGCCACTAAGGAGGGACAGATTTCTCTTCTCTTGAAAACATGTTTTACATTTTAATCAAATTTAGCTGTGAACAATGAAATCTTACCAAGATTATTATTCACAATTCCCGAAACAAATAATTTAGAATGAAAATGAAATATGAGAAATTACAGCTGAAGCGGCGAACCACAGACACAGTACAAAGTATACACGACAGTCCAGAATTCTTTTCCTTTTGATCTTTTGATGTTCCTGTCCGCCATTAATTCTTCGAAACGAGATTCTCAGACTCGCCACCGCCCGCAGGACTGAGTACCGCATGGGAAACTGGGTGTACCTGAACGTGAGTTACCCCGAGGACGAGGAGTCGACGCACCCCGAGGCAAGCATCGCGCCAGTCAAGCAGTACCTGAGTCCCCGCCAGATCACGGTGCTTGAGGGGGAGGACGTCAAGCTGCACTGCCTCTACGGCGGATAGTAAGTCACGTGCCCTTGGCGGCGGCGTAGCGGCCGCGGGCTGATGGACAGGATTTCGTTAATTCCAAACAAACAGCTTGGGTGTATGACTGTTTTGTTTTACGTTTTTTTTTGTGTTTTTTTTCTTTAAATCTTATATGCCTTAATCGGCGTATCGTATAGTCGAAACCATTTCCTGTATGTATCGATGTCCTTAGGGCGCTGCAAAACATGCATTTCCTTCTAATATTCACAATGTATCCATTCTATTGCTAAAACGTCGACCTCCTCCTCCAGCCCCGTCCCAGATATCCGTTGGTGGCGGGAGAGCAGAGCCGACGTGGAGGACGACCAGCTGGAGCACTTCGGAAAGATCCTCGTGCTTGAGGACGTGGACCACGAGGACACAGGCTCCTACTACTGCCAGGCCTCCAACGAGGCGGGCGAGAGTGAGGCGCACCAGTTTACCGTCTACGTTGAAGGTACGCGGGTGTGTGTGTGTGTGTGTGTGTGTGTGTGAGAGAGAGAGAGAGAGAGAGAGAGAGAGGAGAGAGAGAGAGAGAGAGAGAGAGAGAGAGAGAGAGAGAGAGAGAGAGAGAGAGAAGAGAGAGAATGTGAATTAGAGAGTGAGTGAGCGAAGTACTGAATGTGTAACTGATCGAGCGCGTGTGCGTGAGAGTGAGTTGCATTTCTGCAACTGATCGGTACCTCCCCACCCCCAGCTGCCCCTGAGTTCATCGTGGAGCCGGAGGTGGTGAACCTGCCTGAGGGCGAGACGGCGACGCTGAGCTGCGAGGCGAAGGGCGACCCCGAACCCATCATCACCTGGACCAAGAATGGGCAGCCCATGGACACCCACGAGACCACGGTTAGATGGACTTTCATCTGCCAGATCGAGTCTTTCGTATCTGTCCCTCAAAATTCTGTCCATAAAAGAGACATTCTGTACCGCGTAGTTGAATAGCCAAGATCTCCCGATTTGGGTCCTAGCTGTTAGCACTGATCTGCTGTGTCACGGCTCAAAAATGTCAAAACATTTTATATCCCTTGTGGCACTTTCTGTCAAGCCTGACACCAGCATTCAATGCTATGTAAATAAGGGAGAGACTAAAACCGAGGGAGTAAAGGCCATTAGTACGGAAATGCTGAAGTAAAGCTTTGCTTTCCTAATTATGAAACGACTCGTTCTTGATCGATTGTGTATTTTATTTCACCTCTTTATTTGTTTTTCATTTTGCATCAACATAATCTGGAGACCTGTGTTAGTGTGTGCTTTCTGCACAAGGCTTTTAGTTCGTTTTGAAATAACCGCTGTTTCCTCGGCCTCCAGCTGATGTTCGACCGCCTGAGCTTCGCCGACAAGACCGTCATCGCCTGCAACGCCTCCAATGAACATGGCTACGTCTACAAGAGCGTTTACCTCAATGTTTTGTGTAAGAAAGCTTCCCATTGTTGCCTGATATAGTGCGTTGTCGAAGTGATAATAAATGAATTACTCATTTTGTAGAAATGTGTTTTTGTATCTAATACTTGACTGCAATATCCTTAAACAAACATTTGTATTAATACGTGAATAAAGATTTGCCGTCATTTGCTCTTACACGGACACGCAGAACGCTTCGATTGTCATATGTCAGGAGAAATAAAAACTTGAATATATATTATAATGTTATATAGCAGTTCAAGTTTGATAAACACTGACGCGCCTTCCTTGCGCCGCAGCCCTCCCACCCGAGTGGATGACGGAGCCGAAGGACGTGTACGTTCTCGAGGGCGGCTCGGCCGAGCTCGAGTGCGAGGCCTTCGGCTCGCCTGACCCCGAGATCACATGGGCGCGGCGCGACGGCGACGAGAAGACGGTCATCCACGACGAGGACCCGCGCTACGATGTCAACGACCACCAGCTCCTGATCAAGTGAGTGCCTCCGCGAGGGACCTTGACTGGGAGTCAAGGTCCTCTCGGGCAGAGGGTGCTGTGCCTAATCCAGGTGTCCAGAAATGCCCGCAGAGTGACTGCGTGATCATGTCGTGGCCACGACGAGAATATTAGTGATCTGTAATGATATAATTTTGAACATATTTTTATCGAAACACTTAATCAGATAAAATAATTTCCCCAAGGTATTTCATGCACTGATTTTGTCTTACGCCTGATAAGACATTAACATGTTCGGTAATTACAATTAGATGAATGATGGCGATGTAATCAATACGGCGCTCTCTTGCAGCACCGTCGATGACACTACGGACGGCACGTACGTGTGCACGGCCACTAACAAGTTCGCCTCTATCGAGTCGGAGGCCAAGGTCGCCATGCGAAGTAAGCACGAAGTGGAAACGTGTCCACATCTGGATGTATAATAACGCTGGGCATAGATTTCAGCATGTGAAGAGGGTCTGCCATGAAGTCGAGCTTTCTCACCGAATTTGCCTTTTTTAGGTATGACGCGGGCGGAAGTGAGTATCAAGGATGAGCGAGTTGAAGCGGGAGATCACGTGACCCTGGACTGCCGAGTGGCCATCGACCCGCTGCTTAAGTCGTCTGTCACTTGGCTCAAGGATAACGTAGAGATCGACCTCAAGGATGACAATTTCCACTTGGGACAAAGGGGTATGGGCATGCGGGCGCAGCACTTTCGCCTGCTCAAGCAAATACTGAAAAAAAAAAAAATTAAATGTGAAGATAAGAATGTCATTTCGCATGGTACTCATGATTTTCCTTGCATAGCTGCTGATGAGAAAGACGACGACGATGACGACGACGATGACAAGCACAAGATAGAGAACTGGGTGCTGGAGATCGAGGAGGTCCACGGCCACGACTCGGGCGTGTACACGTGCAGGGTGCACACTGACCTCGATGACGTCACGGATGACCTCATTTTGACGGTAGAAGGTCAGGCAGCTTGCGCTTTTGTCCTTTATGGCCACTTGTGTGCAGAGTCTCATACTAAAGAGTAGCCAAAGTTAACTGCATAAAACATTTGCAATAAGGTTTTACAACTTTATTAGAATTTATTAAAAATGTTTGTAATTCTAAATATCTAATTCAAGATGTTTACACACACGCCTATGAGATAGATTTATGATATATATAGATATTTTTTATTCATTTATTTATTATGTATATAATATATATATAAAGATAGATAAAGAATGTGTGTATGTTTGTGTGTTCTCACTCAGTTAATCATACCTAGTTGTTTCAATACAGAAGAAGAGCCAAGGTCAGAGGGTCCTGTCTGCTATATCGAATTATCATATAACTTTGAACTGATGCACATTTTGGCAGCACCACGTAACTTGGGAGAGAATTCGATGTTTCAATACTTCTTCTCGGAAAGCTAAGCCTTTTGACATCCCTAGCGGCTCTTTTTACTTTCAGCTATTGACTGTGTCCCCTCGGTCGTCTTGCGTTCAAAATTATAGTCATCTTTATCTATTTCCAATCTTCCTGTAACGTAGGTGAACAGCATAACCATGGCGCTCCTTTTTCTTTATCCAAAGTATCTCTTAAAGTTGGTGCCCATCTTGCGGCCGCTCTGCGAACTCTTTCCAGTTTGTCTGTATCCCTTTTTTAAGGATGTGTGTATGTGTGCGTGCGTGTGTGCAAGTGTGTGTCTGTGCGATTGTCCCCTCGGCCGCCTAACCCCGCCCCCCCCCCCCGCTGCAGACGTCCCGAACCCCCCAGCCTGACGAACGTGGAGTGCAACCCCCGCAGCGCCTACCTGGGCTGGGCCTCGACGGGCGACAACAACGCGAAGCTTCAGGGCTTCGTGATTCAGTACCGGACGCGGCTACACCCCGAGTGGAAGGACGCCAAGAACCAGATTCCGGCCGCGGAAACCTCTTTCACTGTGAGTGGCTTGGAGTTCACGTGATTTCGATCATTAGTAATATTATTACTATTATTATTATCATTGTTATTTTGTATTATCGTTTTGATTATCCTTCTTTAAGGGTTTTGCATCCTCTTTTCATTTCCCATAAAACCTTTAACTCCTCCTCTTCCACTAATTCATGCATTTTATCACACAGCATATTAACACACACCTACTGCAATCACGACAATATGTACAAAGCTCCTACAAATGTCAAAGCGTTTTCTACAGCCTGCGGACATAGTCGTTATTTACATTCCCAAAAACACTGGTGGTTTTGTATCTCATGTATGTTTGCGAGGCACACGACCCCACATGAGCACGAGGGGAACTGTGCCCGGG